TGCCACAGTCTCCACCACATAGAGCTCCTTTCATAGTACCCCTCTGTAGTGCTTTGTCCAGTAGTTCTGGATATGATATCATCTATTAATAATGTATTGGCAATGGATTACATAAAAAGGGAGCAGAAATAACATCCAATATTCATGCCCCCTGAGCTTGACTGTGTCCAATCCGTTTGGCCCATAAAACCTTAGCCCCATTTCCATATCCGCTGTGGGTCACGACAGGTCTGCCGCACAAAGGCTCACAGAGCAGCTCAACTCAGGAAAAGGGCAGTAAAAATAGGGTGGTTTTCTGAACCCTTATGAAACAGCCCCCCTTTGGAAAAAAAGTGAAAAAAGCCCTTTTCCGATTTCAGCGCCTGTGAAAAACCTGGTACTGTATTTCCCTCTTTAATTGTGCCACTTGAGAAATTGACGTGCCTCTGAAACATGGCATGAATCTCACAGTTATTGCAGTCCCCTTGGCAGGGAATGTTGATACAACATCTGCATGCTATAGAAAGTAATGGAAGTAGCAGAGGTGGCAGCTGCAACTCTACAGGAAGTGTGCCATTTTCAGGCAGTGCTGCTGTGAGAACCACTAACTGCCAGCCTGGTCTTGCAGGCAGCTCTGATTGCCAGGACACTATGACAAACACGCAGGGGCTGGGAGTGTTGCATCCTGGGGGATGACAGCTTCTGTTTGATTGTCAATAAGGCTCATTAGCAGAAAAAATGGAGAATGCGAAAAGAGATTAAATGGCTTGAGACAGGGTCCCCCTCATGTTTCATTACTGAGAATTTATCAGAGCTTTTATTTCATCAATTCCACGAAGAAAGAAATCACTTAATGCTTCGCCTCCAAAATATAGAAGCTGCATTTATATTCATAAAAATCGATGCATTTTAGATATTGTAATGAAACACAAGCAGTTCCATCAGAACAGACCCAACCAGTGCTAATGGTCCCTTTAAACACCGTCCACACCTTACAGAAACCTCTCAGAGCGACTCTCATCTTAAGAACAGTGGCGGATGTTTCCCTCCATCTTAGGGAGGAACGGCCAACAAAGCAGCGTGTAAGGGCCTTTCCCTGAAGAGTCCTTGTCACGCCGCGCCAAACCTCTGTGATTATCGTTGTTTTTGCAGAGAGTGTCCATGCCTGCCAATACCGCTGTTCCATAAATGAATTTGGCCCCTCGTCAACGAATTACCTAACACGCAGAACTGTGTATGTGTCACATCCAATTCCAACTCACCGGCTTTGGTGGTGTGTGTCAGCTGGAGGACTTAATCATCAATCGTCAATCATAATAAGCGAAGCACATTGATAGGGCTCCTTTTTTTTTTTTTTCCAACACAGTTAAATAAAGTGTAAAGGGAGAAGTTAAAACTGACCTTGTTAAATTGGGTCCACAATTTATATTCCTAATTTAGTGTATGGATTAATTAGTCTTGTGTGTGTATCAGTTTCCATGTGGCGAAGCTTAGAAGCTATATCCACTTCATCAAATCACTGCCCGCTTTCATAAGGAAACTCTGGAATGATATCTGTCAGTCTAATCTTGATGTTTTTGCTCAGAACGGGCTTTGCATATTTTTAGCAGCACACTTTTAATTAATGCCTAATTGGACGATTTACAGAGAGGACTTTCTCCAACATTAGTTGCTAATCAATAACCCCTATCTCACATCATGCAAAATTAATCACTATGACCTGTTATCAGGCCTTAATGCAACCACACACACACACACACACACACACACACACACACACACACACACACACACACACACACACACACACACCACACACACACACACACACACACACACACACACACACACACACACACACACACACACACACACACACACACACACACACACACACACACACACACACACACACACACACACACACACACACAGAGAGAGAGATATGCACATGTAACACGCTAACTGGCATGGCATGCATTTTGCACGAGGCTGAGGAATCTGGCTCATATTTTCCGTCTCCCTGATCCAATCCACTCCTCTCCCCCGTCATATAGATCGGAGTCTGCGGGGGCCAGAGGCGCTGACAGAGCCCAGATGCTCCCAGTCTGTCTGGGGGACTGGGGAGACTGGTGCCATGGGGTCCTGGAGCCTCTGAAGTGCCGCCCCTCCGTCAACATGACCAAGGCTAGACCTGCACTTTCTCCAGGCTGAGACACTCTCCTTACCACGCTGACAACCACGCTGCGTAGTCACAGATTGATACACGCAGGGATACCCGCTCTCACGTTATGTAGGGTCGTTCATCAGCCGTTCCTAATTAGAGACCCCCAGACCAACACTGGAGTTCATAAGGTTACAATGACACACTGGTACAAGGTTACTAACACACACACACTCGCATGCTGAGACCTCTCAGGGTTTCTTTTACTTTCTCATTTAATCCTGCTCTATCTCATCAACAGTGTCCTTAACTTGCTCATGTCGAGGGGGGGGGGGGGGGGGGGGGGGGTCCTTTGTTCTAAAGAAACAAAACAAGAAAAGGCACCAATACGAAACCTCCATCCTCCAGCTTTATCTCTCAAAACACAAAGATCATTACAAGAGCATCAAAGTATGCCATGTTTGAAATGATATTTCTCTTTGTAGTTGTGCGTAGCGTGGAGTGTGTTGGTATTAGATGCTGCTGTGGCAGCTGTCGTGGCTGGCTGCGTGGTGCCGCCGTGTCAGGGCCTCCGAGGCCGGGCTGTCCCGGCAGACAGACAGAGGGGGGGGAAACCTGATAGCGCAGCCAAGCCCCGCTCTAATGTCTGTCTATCCAGCTATCTGTGCCCTGTCTATCTGTCTGACTGACTGTCGGACACTGCCTATCTGCACGCCGGATACTCCTCTGGCTCCTGAGCAGCAGTGCAATGCTTGCAGCTGAGTTAATACGTTCCAAAACTTTTATTTTTTTATAAGCATCCAAACTTCTTGAGCAAGATTAAAAGCAGCTATTTATAAATCACTTCTGCACGGTCCCCACTAAGCTTGCGTCTTGTGCCAAGGGTTGCAGGTTGTGATAACATTAGACTCATAAGCCGACATGTATGAGGAGCACGAGATGGAAGCACAGGGTGTGTTTGTTTTTGATGTGGGGGCAGAAAATTGCTCTATAATGAGGAGGGGTGCCAGGATATGAGATGGGAAGTGGGGAGTTGGAGACAGGATATAAGTTATGAGAACTGATCTAATGTTAGGAAATGCAGAGGTTGTTGTTGCTGCGGCTGTATGAGCTAAAATGCATCTCGCTACTATCGGCCGTGATTAATAAAGCCCGGCCAGGTCAAAACACTGCACGAAAGCTACGGATGCCACCAACCATATCCTCGCTTTTTCTGGGGCTCAAATGAGTGTGTGTCGTATGTGCGGGAGAGTGTGTGTGTGTGAGGGGGTTAATAAATGTTGAATCAAACGCCGCACGAGACACTCACACTCCTTAAGGGTTGCCCATTAGCGGTGTGTGGGTGCATGGGGAGTTTATCAGTGTCTGGGTGATTTATGAAGTCAGACTCAATATCATCCACTTCACCCACACACATATGGACATACACATGTGCACACACCAACATGCATGGCCACATGCTCAAACACACACACTCACACGCATGCAGCGCGCGTGCACGCCAGTACTCTCTCTCTCTCTCTTCCTGGAATGGAGGCAGATATTAGGCCAAAATTAAAGGTTTCACAGAGATTAACAGTGCGGATGATGAGATCGTCTCAGCCTCTTTTAATCTAATTCCTTTTTTATCTCCGAGCCAGCATGATTCGGAAGTGGAACACAAGGTACAAAATATCACCACAAAATAATACAGACATAATAATACTAATAATAATAATCATAACACTGCTACTGAGGCTGATAAATATTGAAATATCATAATAATGTTAAAATTAAGAAAAAGGTGTGAATTATTTTTAAGAGATTCCTTGGCTAGCTCTGCAATTACACAGCCAATTACTGGCGGCGTGTTTGAAGCTTTGACGCTGGACTTGTTTTTCACCATCAGCCACAGACCTCTACAGACATCAGTATCTCTGGCTGCTAAATTCACAGCCTTCCATAGAATTTACTTAGCCACGAGAAAAAAAAGGAGGGTGCTTACAGTGCACTTCAGAGTGCGCCTGGCTTAAATGGGACCCCTTGTGGCTGTGTCACAGCTCCCTTCGTTAGGGGGCTGACTGTAGCCTGTAGTCACCACAGGCATCATTAGCCCTCTGTGAAACCACAGACTGAGTCTCATTCTTCATCTGCCTGTCTGCTGCCTCAACATCTACGCTGCGATGCTGCTCCAGCGGCAGAGAAAGTGAGTCCAGGAGCACGGAGATGATGGGATATGAAATTCAAAAATGCAGCAAAGTTCAAATGTATTCAGCGAGCGGGCCACTTGAATTGGTTGCGTAAAGGTTAGAGCCGAGGTTATTGTTGGAGGGCGGATTATTAGGCTACCTGTTCGTAGCAGAAGACGAATAACTATGGGCAAGTAAGGGTCGTTCTGAGGCTGCACTAGACTGTTAGGAGATTCGAGAAAAGACTAAACTGTCAACGTTACAACACATCATCGCGAGGAAATTAAATAAATAAAAGCGCAGGACACATTCAATTAAAGCAACTTCTATTGCTAAACACACACCACCACTGCTGGCCTCTCCATATGGTCTTTTTAAGAGAGAATAATTCATCCCAAAGGGATTAAACGGGGTTGTGATGAAAATAAAATAACGTATAAACATTTAAGTTACAGATAAAATGTGCAGGATGAATTCAAGGTTGAAATGTTGATTTCTGTTTCCCGTTCTGTACTGCCCTCTAATGGAAAACACTACTCAGAAATAAAAAGAGGGGCTCTGACATCCAGAGCTGCAGCGAGGAGAAGAGACATACAGCATAATTAAGTATGAGCTGAACTGAGTGAACACTACATGAAATCAATTTTTAAATTAAATGCAATTAAAATGATGAAAAGGCAGGATTTGTCATTTTGAGATGTATTTATTTACACATGTCTAATGTAACATAAGTGCAGTATATAATACATAAGACGTCTCGGCTCTAGGTGGAGGATAAGGCGAGAGCAAACAATGAGATCTAAATGAAGACAAAACAAATGCTTCACTACAAAGCTTTGTAGCGGTACAATTCAGAGCCTTTATCACTGGATGTTGAACAAAGCATTCACTTGGCAGGAAATTAAAAAACCAACGAGAGGTACAAAGACTAATTCTGCTTAGGAAAAAAAAACAACAACAACAACAACAATGCAAGAGACATATTTTTAAGGGAATAATAATTCTTTAGAAAAACCATTCCAGCACTATCTGGCAAACGCAACGGAGACCCACGGGAGCATATGTTTGTAATTCCTACTGTTCTCTGTTTAAGTTATTTTTGTACGTTCTAATTCTGCAACAACTCTGTATCACATTAACTATGCAGCATCTCTATTCTTAGATACAAAAAATAATGAAGAATAAACTGAATATCTACACGCAGCAGTTGTTCCACGGATTGTGCCAAGCACGCTAAACTTTGTGGCCCTGTTTGTGTTCTTAAAAAAAAGAAAAATCCCGGCCTTCTGTGTGTGTGTGTGTGTGTGTGTGTGTGTGTGTGTGTGTGTGTGTGTGTGTGTGTGTGTGTGTGTGTGTGTGTGTGTGTGTTTACTGAATGAAGGACAGTTGGCCTCTGTCATGCGTTAGCCTTCCCTTCCCTGCCTCTCATGGGTGAGCAGCCATTGTTTGAGATGGTCGCCCTTGCCGCTCATGTACGGCCCGCTCTGTCCACTGCTAGAAATGACTCGGTGGCAGGGGATGAGGAGAGGAACCTGGCACAGACAGACGGAGACAGAAAATTCAACTCGGAGGAAATAAACATGTTCGTGTTCTGCAAAATTACACATTTTCACACCAGCGGACAACGGACAGACTTCTAACTTCTTCTCTTAAAATAAAAAGTTATTTTCCAAATGTATAAATTCAGGACAGATGAAGGAAAAAGCGTGTTTTAGTATAGGGGATTTATACTTACATATATATATATATATAAATTCCATGAAGGATCAGAGCCTTTACAACAAAACTATGATGTCTTGTGAAAAAGAAAAAGAAAAAAAATACAGATCTGCGCTTTTCTGTTCTTTATCCTGAAGCTGACATGTATTGTCACAGCATCACAACAGTTGGAGGTGTTGGTAGTAGATATGTATTATGTATGAAAGAACGTCTGATTTAACACATAAACGGTGCGACTTAAAAGTAACCAACATGCAGAACATATGAATCTGCATTTTGCTTTTTTTTGTGCTTTTTATGTCGGTGCACTGCATGAAAAACAAAGTGCCACATCCGAAGTGTCTGGGTTTGATCCTGCACAAATCCACATTCAGGGTGATGGCTCAGTCTTTGGGTGTAAATGTTTTTTACTCTTTAATAGTGTAAAGCAAAGAAGCAATCAAAAATTAATGGGCAAAAACACCAGCAGGATGAATATTCAATCGAGAGGGTGTCAACATTAAGATCTGATAACCCTGTGATCATTAAAAAGAGGAAGTCGGTGGAGCGTTTACTCTTGTTGCAGACGACTGCCAGGGGGGTCCCGAGTTCTTTGTAAACTAAATGGCTGGAGAAAGATTAAACAAGCAAGCCTAAAACACTTCGATCATTGTGAATTCAGAACAAGAAGAGTGGCAACGGTTGGCATGAATCACAGCAATTATTCCCTTTAAAATATTCTTAATGTTGCCCCCATTGTCTTATCGTTATAGTAAATACAAAATCCTCCCAACTGCGGCTGCTATGTGACTATATTTCTCCGGTTATCCCGGCTTGATTGCTGCACCTCCAGCCTTTTATATAAAAGTTGGACATGCAGTGTGTTTCAGTTCAAATCCATCATTAAACCCGCTCCCATATCAACAGCAATAAAACTTTCCGAGCCCCAGATTAACCTTGCAGACAGAGAAATACTGCTCGAGTATTCCGATCAATACTGTTCCCCGGGTTTGGAGGGAGAGCAGGGTACCCTCAAGGCCTGCGGATCTGCCTCCTCACTTGGGGGGAAAAGAGCACTACACCAGGCTTATCAATACTCAAATCCTGGTGAAGAAGAAGTGCCACAGAGAGGCGAGGATCGATCGAGCACACTGAGCTTTTCACAGTTGAAGCCTGAGTGGAGCAGCGCTACTGACAAGTAATTGACACTGACAATCTGACTCTGGATCTGTATCAGGAGCTGAGGGCTCAGACTCCCAGCCTCCCTGACGAAAGGAAGGAAATGTGTGTAAAACACGAGACCGAGAGCTATTATACAGCCTGCAAAAGCAACGCCATTGGCTGATGTAATATATAAAAGAATATGAAGAAACTAGTGCAAAACACAGTGGTTTGCTTGCATTTAATTGGTGCTTCAAATGACTTTTTTTATATTATAAATCCCTTTCTTCCTGCTTTACTAACAATAACAGTGCCAGGGTAAAAACACAGCACTGAGATGAGGCTGCACGCGAGCCTTTTCACTGCACATATGAGGGATAGCATCTCACCGGCTGTATTTCTGCACAAGAAGTGTTCTCTGCCTCACAGAGCACACCGGTGGTGCCCACAGCACTACATGGGCAGAGCTAAACGGGCTTTGATCAAAGGGTTTGATCAAAAGAAGACACACCACTTGCCCTCTAGCCCTCCATTTTGTACACAGTGGATTCATGGGCGAAGTGATGCAGGCCAGGTTTCAAGACAAGAAACGGAGATTTGCTGCGAACATCTACAGTAAAGACTTGAGAGAACAGGAACAAAAGGTGTGGGCTTAAAATTGTGCTGTAGGTAGACTTTTAGTTCTCCGTCGCGCTCAAAGGGAGCCGTTTGTTTCGCCATTGCACATGTTCGCACACCTGCAGATTAAACCACACATCCTGCATTTGTAAATGTATTTTTCCTGCAAATCTTAAGTAATTAGTTGAAAATAGAGCCTCTTTAAGAAATTAAAACAGATCAGATGGACTTTTTTTTATTTTATTTTCATTGTGAACTAATGTTTTTGAGCACAAATGTACCCACACAAATAGATGACATGTATCTATTTAATATTTGGATGCTCTATTTTTATTTACTGATTTATTCATCTACCATAACATCCATTTATTTAACCTTTTTCTAAACTTTAATAAGTAATTCAACCATAAACTGTTGATGTAAAACCTTTAAATCTATTGGAAATCATTTGTGGAATTTTCACATGATCCCCAAATTACATTTTTAAGACAATTTAATTGGAGCAATAACTGATACTTATCTTAATTATAGATTCATCTGTTGATTATTTTCTCGATTAATCATTAAGTCAAGAGAACAAATAATACATATTTTTATCACAGTTTTCAAGGTTTAAGGTCTAATACCAAAAAAGATTGTGTTTACATTTAAATGAAACAGCAAATTGTCACATTTTAGAAACTTTACCACAGATTGATGTTTTTTTAAAAGTAAAAGTGAACTGAATGATTATAAGATGATAAAATAGTAGTTAGTGATTTTTCTGTGAATTGATTAATTGTTTCAGCGCTATATTTAATACTGTAAGAGATGTTATGGTGTTTGCAGTGCTATCTTCACATTCATTATTTACTACCGTTAGAAATAATTCACTTTCTTCTTTAGTCTAGATGCAAAATTCAGAGTCATTAAAATCTCAAAATCATAAAACTCAAAAAGGGAACTTTCCCTACCTGACTGAATAAAGTAAGTAAGAATGAAGCCTGTCAATCAAAGTCAGCCACACTCACCGGGTTCCTCCTCATGGCCCCTCCCACCGCCCGGGCGGCTCTGGGGGTTCCCGCCATCTCAGCGAGGCGTTTGTACGACACGGTCTCTCCAAACTTCACATCCCTCAGAAGTACCTGCAGCACGCGGCTGGTGAACGCGTCTTCACCACAAAGCAGAGGACAGGACAGGAAGACACAGAAGAGAGAACAGAGGAAGAGAGGGTTCCTCATTTAATTATACATCTACATGAGAGGCTGATGACAACAAGACAACACTTTAATACAACGTTGATTTTCACTCCTTTGAAACAAACTGGTGTTTTGTAATTATAATCAAAAGTTTGACATTTTAATCCGCATTATAGTTTTTCATCATGTCCAACCTCCCATGTTAGAGGTCCATCCCCTCTTCCAAGGGGCTTTGTAGGACTCCCTCTCTTCTCTTCACAATACTCATTAAACATCTAAATACATAGAAGTCCCTCAATTTGACCTTAGAACTAACATTAACATGCTACACAAGCTGATGTGAGAAAATTATGTCTATGGCAGAAAAATCTAGGTTATGCTTTGAAAGGTCACAGCTAAAATTAAAAAAGTTCGCTCCTTCATTTAAAAGGATTAAGAGAGGCCAAAAAGACTGCAAATCTGCTCCAGATTTTTAATAATAATAATTTGAATGTTGCACACCATTTGTGGCAGTGGGATGACTTTGAGGTTAATCAGACCAATTTGTCCTTTTAATTGCTTTCTATTCAGAGTAGATTCATTATATCATCTTCACTTAAATGGCGGAATTCTTCAAATCATCCACAGCTTAACCGACCACATTAACGGCTTTGATTTCATTAGCACTTTAGCAGTAGCATTATCTTTCTTCCTCTGGATTAGCAGGCAGTGGCTGAGAGGCATGTTTGTCTAGTTCAGATTTCTAAAAGAAAAAGGGAAACGTATTTGAAGCATCTCCGAAACCTTGAGACATTGATGCAGCGAACAACACTTTTTTTTTGTTGCACGGGGAACAAGATGGGGAACAATAGTCTCGTTATCAAGAGGGGGTGAAAATCTTCTAGTACATACATGTACTCAGTCATGAAAATTCAATTAGTGATCTCCCATTCTCTCTCATTTATATGGTCTAAGAGAGCACATGACAAGTGATCTATGAGAAATCCCTCTAAATTGGCATTGTGTGAAAACATGTCACACCCCTGTCTCTCTTCTACAGAGTGAACATCCTTTGCTCCCCAGGCTCCCTCGCTACCTTATAGTCACTCTCCGCTACACAAAGCCACGCGAACAAGGCAATTTGCCTAAACTGGGGGGAATAAGTGTAAAACCTAAAGGGGATATATTTGATTGATGCGCACCCATGTGAGTTCTTTGTCTTGAACAAGGCCCGTAGGTACTGTTTAATAATTTTTCAGGTAATAATCACGCTGTCAACGAGATGACGGGCTGTTACGCAGACAGACTTAATGTTATGAGGGGATAAGATACACCCCTGAAATTTCCTTTATGCATTATTCTCCTTCATAAAGCTGGGATTTGGCCTCATGATGTGCGTTGTTAATATTGGTATCTCTTTGTCACCGCTGGGTAGATGACAACTTGTCCAGACTACAGCTTTGACAAATCCCTGTTGATGCGAACGTTATTGACAAACAACCAAAGTCACGCTCACTTTTACCTACAAGGAGACTGAGCAACAAGCTACAGGGCTGTTCCACACCTTCTATAAATCCTGAGCAGATGTTTTACCTGGAAGGTTTTACTTCTCCGACAATTCTGGACAAAAACAAGTGTCGGCGCTCTCATCTGCCGGCATAGAGGTTAAAGAACTTTGCCCTCATCAGTGTCAGTGACAGAGACTCCATGCGGGTCACTCGAGGTGACCAGCAATGATTTGGAGAGCAGTCCCCTAGCCCCATACTTCATAAAGGGCCTAATACGCTGTGTCTGGGGGTCAGGACCCTCTTTAGATCGGGGTGCAGTGATGTCAATTGTTTAAATAAAAGTTGAGAGGAACCACTTACATGTTTACAGGCATCCCATAATTATGTCACAGGTCATTACCTACCAGGAGGCCAGGTGATAGAACCACCGCAGAGGCACGGACAGATTGAGCTGGAGTAAAATCGAACAGATCTAGTGATTATGAAGGTATTGACATATATGATTGATTTGCTCATAATGTTGTATATGAGAGCAATTTGGAAGGAGGAGAAATACTATAATAAACTTGAATCCATCAGCCCAGCTAATGATAGCTTTTGGGAGATGCCTTCCAGCTGACAGTCACCTCAAACATGATTGTGACAATAAAAAGACAATGGTAGAAATGCAGCTACCTCATTATCCTTTGTGTCTAATGGGAGGGAAGACTTTGACTCCCAGTCAAAGTGTCTCTTGAGTCTGGAGGGATCCGTACTTTTGAAGGCTGACGGGGTGCCCATGATTCTCTGATTATTCGATATTCTGAAAACGTTCATTTCCCTAATTCCTCTCCACATCACAGGGGCGAGTCCTGGTGAGTGTCTCATCTCGCCCTGTGCTGTGCACAGGGGGAGGTTCAGCCTCCTGCAGGAACAGTCATTTGGGCTTTGAAGAGCGCCCTTCCCCCCCTTTGCCTGGCCCCCTCCCTGCATATTCCCTGTGCCGCTTACCGAGACTAAGATCCTCTCGTCTGTTACATATGGATGTATAATTAATGAGATAAGAATATGCATCGTTTTGAGAACTCATGATGGTGTCTGTGTTTTTTGGAGGGGGCCATGGGAGTGCACACACACACACAAGCTCATTGCGCACGACACGCGCACACACTCGCCATTCCTCTAGCTCCGACGACCAGACTTGACTTGTGTGTGATGTTGCACATGACAATCAGTCAGGCGGCACAGAGAAGTGCTCCTCGCTTCTCCTTTCATGTCACCTCTGTTGCTCAGGTATATGGTGACAGCTAATATGAAAAGTGGCTTGTTTTGTCAGAAATGTGTAAATAAACATGGCAACACTTCAAGTGAAGGTCACAACTCAATATTACATGACAAGTGCTGCGAGAGCGCTGTCGCGTTCAGGTTCTCCCACAAGATAACTGAGCAAACAAAAGTTGGTTGTCACAGATTGTAATGACCTGATTAAACTTGTATTTTTTTCCCAGGCAGGCGGCAGCTGCTTGACTTGATCGAGTATGAATTTGTACGGCACAGAGGCAAAAATAATAATACTTAATATTTGTGAATTAACAAGAAGAAAAAAGAAACCTTCTATTTTCTTCCCTCAAAAGACAAATACTCCTGATGCTCACATTTAACATTTTGATACTGGCATGGCCTATGGTTCTGACTACTGAGAGCAATCCAAGTCTAAACCCTGTATTTACTGAGCCCCAAAACAACAGGCGAGGGAGAGAGGTGGAACACAGCACAATCACCTATTCAGATCAGGTACTAATGAAGAATTCCATCTATCCTGAAATTTAATTAAAACCCCAAAGACTTCAGATGAGATGCGATTTGAAAGAGCCTGGGGCTGGTACACAAGCACTTGGTGGCGAAGGGAATCACACTGAAAGTTGATATCGTAATTGGTCCTGATGTATTTCTGCATTGCCTTTGCGGGAGCGTGGGACTCATAGCTGTATACAGGGTCTCGATGGAGTACCTGCTCATTGAAAATGCCATCACTCAAGCACTGCAGATCTGCATGAAATTAGAGAGCAACTAGGACCTGATTGCAGGGGAAGAGAGGCACAATTGTTAAATGCATATATTAAAGTTTTTTTTTTTCCCTGTGTAGGTGTGCTTCTGGGTCTAAATGAGCACTTCTGCAAATGTTTAGGTTTAAATGCAATGAGCATCTCAGTGTGACAAAGACATCGCCGGTAATTGTTTTGAAAACGGCACGAGCAACGGTAAGTTTATGATTTGAAAAGTGAGTTGTCAGCCTGCGAGTACTGCTTGTTTCCTGGAAACAAAAGCGCCAGGGATAATTAATTCCTCATTTTTTTCCTGAGCGCCCTCGATCATTCACTCCGCGGTCAGCACCCCCGGTTGAAATGGACACTAATTGTTCATTTTTTTGGGGTGGGCTCATTTTACTCGCCCTAGGTGACTGGTCAAGCCAACAATAAGCTCATTCAAACTTTTACCACTATTCACATGTTGTCATTGAAGAAAAAAAAAAAGCTTCCTGTCTGAAAATGTCAAGAGTGGAATTCGATCAGTTTCAAAGAATGTGCCAAGAATCATGGAAAAGCTTGCCAAGACTAACACGCGTGGTAAGAGCTGCCACAGATTACTGAACCAAGTTACAGCTCTGTGTTCTGTTCTCTCTCCTTTCACTCACCCACTCACGCGCTTTTCCTCTGCTCTCGCACTCTCCCTCTCTCAGCCATAAAATACTTCATTATAACACAGTGAGCCAGTGAGTGTAAGTGATGTAACTGACAATTAAGAGTGAAAGCCTGATCCCAGTCATGGCTCTGCAAATATTTATCCATGACAGACCTCCTTGCAGGGCGGGGTGGTGAAAGGCGGGGAGGGGGAGACTCCCAGTGGTCTGCGGCTCACTGAAGTACGCCTGAAGCCATTCAACGCCGCGCTGCAACTCGGGGCTCGTTTCTGCCGGGCTGTCGTTGACCACACAGCTCAGGGGGGCCGCGCCGCTCCTGTGAGGGATATAAGGCAGGATGGGGAGTTGAGGTGGGGATCAGAGGAGCAATCATAATACCCAATTCTTTCTTGAATAGTGCTAAAATATGTCACAAGTGTGCAATAACACGCCACGGTTGAAACAGATGCAAGATGGCATCATTTGCCGAGAGAAACTAAAGTTGTTAATCAAGACGTGTTTAAAATCTTAAGTTCCACATTTCAGCTTTTGGGCTTTGACAAATATCAGAGCTGTGAAAGAGGGAAAGAAGCCTGAGAAACTCTAAAGACAGTAATCCAGGCATTTGTTCCAGAAGATAAACAGTGTATTTATATGAAGTGCAGCATGATAGAGTATGAAAGAAAACATTGTCGGGTCATGAGCAACGGCGCTAACAGTTTATTTCAAACAACTTTAAGGAAGCAGAACCAGTTTGTGGAAAGAAAGGGTGTTTTCAAAAGTCTTGCAGCTGCTACGGAACAAAGTTAAGAGCAGCGTTAACAACAGTTTTAACTCTGCTTGGGTCTAGTTTATAGTTCATGACAAGAATAAATAGATTTGTTGGCCAGAGTGGTGCTGGCCAGCAAAGCACTACACTTGGACGCGCATCTTAGCATGAGTAGCTGCTTGGAGGAATTTGCCGATGGTTGAGTTGGCATCACTTAACAGCTGAATTTCTCTCCGCTGCTGACCACCCCCCAGGTCAATGCAAGCAGACTGACCCATATTTGACACTTAAAGACCCTACTGGGAAGGTCTTCTCTTAGCATGTGCATTACTGCAAAGTGGACCTCAAGCTGTGTTGTGGATCTAAAGCAGGCCGCCAATTCCATTAACTGGTGTACAGGACTTATAAATAAATAATATCACCATTTAAGTGCCCCTTTTTCAAAATTGGCTTATCCTGTATGGTATTAATAATAGACATTTACTTTGTTAAACACACAGACCGTCTCTCTCCTGCCCGCCGTAGCAACACGGCCCTAAAGTGTTTTTACACTTCTGCAGGTCACAGTTTGAGCATCGTTTTATATTGGACATGTGAAGCTGAGGTTTACTGGAGTGTTATGACTGAGCAGGTCAGTTTTCAGGGAGCCGCTCTCTCTGCTACTTTGTGGCTGTGTGATGAAAGTCTCCCGGGTGCTGTTTAACAGTGGGTGTAAATACAGTAAAAGGTGTAAATACTCTAATTTCTAAATAAACCACACAGCAGTTTATAGTTGAGTGGTGAAAACTCGGAAACCCACCAGCGGGTCCTGGGCTGAGACCCTCTCAAACAATGGCCATGGCTCATGGCAATCTCTGTCGGCATGGGTGAGTGCCCAGCCAGCCCCTACTTGTCATTGTCTCTCCTTGCTATCCCCCCCCCCCCCCCCCCCCCCCGCTCACCCTCCTCATTTCCCCCTCTCTATTTCTCTATCCTCCCACTCCAGCTCTTTTGGCTCCGCACCACCTACACCCCCCCAACACACCCACCATCCCCCCCTCCACTCTTTTCTCTGTGCAAGGATCTTCAGGCCACTGTTCCCCCCCCCCCTTCGCCTCCTCCCACCTCCACCGCCTCCTCTACCCCTCCGCAGCCCCTCTTTCTCTCTGAGAGGATGTTCCAGCCGCTGCACACTGACAGCTCGGGGATATTGTGTGTGGAAATGTTCCTGTTGGACCCGCAGGCCCTTACAATCTACCGGACAAAGGCTAGAGCACCTTTGCTTAAGGCTTGGCACCTTTGACCTCCAGCTCACACTTCAGACTTGTCACCGTGGCTAATTTTTCCCTCTCCCCTCAGCCCCTCCGTTATGGATGTGCCGGCTTCAAAGGTGTTTGGAGTGAAACAACATTGACAGTAGTAAAAGTTAATGCAATGCAGTACATGTTATGGCCGGTAAACAACACCAAAATAAATAAATAAAAGTGGAACAACATCAGTCGAGCTGAAGTCTGTCACCTCGAGGTGCAATGGGGGATTGTTTTTAAAGAGCATGTGGGCAGTGGAGATGTAGCTCCTGCGCTGGCAACATTTCCAGTCGCTTCAGTGAATTACAAATCAAGCAGCATCATATCATGTTTAGAGTGTCCAGTCTGGCATATTAGAAACTCTGCCCTTCAAATGTTAGATTAGATATGTGTGATAAATGTTGGGTTTATCACAAAGAAACTCTCAAAGTAGGAGCAATATTTATATTTATTGGCCCATTTATAAGCAACTGCCATCACTTGGTTGGAAAAATAACAGAATTATAATTAGTAGTGGTCAGAAATACTATTTATATAACTGTGTTTCATAAATAAATTCAGTATAAATTTGGTTTAAGCTAAATTGTTATTTATTACCTTTTGACTATTGACATTCATATATTTTGTCAGTGTCCTTGAGGCGTTTACTATTTCATCACAGGTAAGGAAATAGGAAACTAATTCCAAACTAGCCAGGATCTGCTGCACTAAAAAGAATATTTCCCTTGATAGAAGATTGTGATTTGAGAAAATTTCTAATATTGTGCTCCTGTCACAATCAATTTCCAATTACCATAAATCATTGCAGCGTAAAGTGGGACTCATTTGGAGTTCTACCTATTTTCCAACTCTAATATAAAGAATGAATTGAGCATTTATATAATGTTAGAGGTTATTTCATTCATCCTGGAGGAAACAATCAAAAGAGACAAAGGAACAAAAAAAGAAAAAGAATAGCTGGAATTAGATTTGTCAATTTCCTTTGGCATATTCTGTATCTTTAGTTGCACTAAGACTTCAGTAAGACTTTTTCTATCATCTGCAGACGCAAGAATGGAACAGGTTAACCACAGGATCTAATTGAAAGGAATCTGGCGAAGGGTGTAATGGTATATTGCACAAAAAGGGGAAAAACTCAGAACTCATGCCTCCATCCTGTGAAGCGTGATGGCGCTCATCCTGACTCGATCGGCTGTCACTTTTGACACAGCCTGCCAGAGTTCTCCTTCACCGATCATGGGTAACATGGCGGGTCAGAGGATGAAATAGAAAAGGCCAAGAGCAGTCCAATATTTTCCTCAGCCTTATAGCTGCAGATACTTAACTCAGAGACGTCAAAGACTCAAGAGAGCATGAAAAAAGCCTAAAATGACTGTCTAAAAAGGGAAAAAAATACAGCATGTCTCTATGAATGTCAAGATCCTGATGGTCTCTGAGCCAAAGGCTGTGATACAATTGTAAGCCACTAGCTCAATGCAGCGCGTTCAACCATTTGAAGATCATTCAGATGCCTATCTAGCCACTGCAGCACTAAAGTGGAGAGCTTTTCCGAGTGGTAAGCTGTAAGGAATGCTTCCTATTTCTGTTTTGGGGGGCGCATGTTTTGTGCTCCGCTGTTTCAAAATAAAAACAACTCGGCCGGATAAACTGCTCTCCAGATATCCAACAACTCTTATTAGCGAATGTCCGCCAAAGAGGCCGCTACACTCAATCCAATACATAAAGGTGGTGGTAAAATACTGCAGAGTCGGCAACAAAGCACACAACAATTAGGTCTTCTCCCAACTGGCTAGCCACAGGAGTCAGTGAAGGCATGTATTACCAGAGCCCTAACTCTTACTCCATTATGTAGTGTATCCACACCCCGACGCAGCAATGTTTATCTACAACAGACTACTGAGCAGTTTCAAATAGTGTTTTTAGCCTCTATTCTCAAGTGCCATAGCAAGAGATTCCAATTACCCGAATGGTAAGGAGCTAGTGAGGGAGGCATAAAGTACATTAGGGATCCCCTGTAACTGCAGGGACCTTTTAGAGCCTCCACTGAAGAGGGCCGAGAGACTGGAGGGACAGTGACCCTGCATGGATAGCCTCTGTCAAAATTTGACCACGTCAAGCACAAAGGCATTATGGGAATCCAGTGTCACCAAGTCCTAATTACTGTCTGTGTTCAGAGCAAATTACTGCCTTGTTCCTCTGATTAGCGAGGAGGCTAATCTTCACCTGTGTACGCCAGCACTGCTGAGGGCCCTTGAGTGTTAGCGCTTCGTCTTCTGTAATTTATTTTTAAATCAGTGCCCGCTCCCAAGAGTTTTGAGTGTTTTGTTGTGAACCGCTTACCATGATCCCCACCACCGCCCCCTCACCCCTAAATCCTTGACTAAATCCTTGTTTGGTGCCGCAGGAAGATAAGCAAGAACAACACTTGGGCATAATTGACTCGTACTCCTCTCCAAGATGTCAGAGCGGAATCATCTCTCTGCATATTGCCTCAGTATGTCACACACTGTACACTTCTGCATGTTGCAGATATAGAATCCAATCAAGTTCTAAAACAAACCAGTACAACCCTCGCGCCGGGGAAAAACTTCCCGGTCGACAGCAGGGGAAAAAAAAGGAAAGAAAAAAAAACTGCAAGGAGCTGCTTTTAGCTGCGTCCCTGCAGTGAAGGGTAACTCTCGCTCGGCTTACGTCCTCCTGGAGGTTCTGTTTTAAAAACACAACATTTGCACATTTTTATCTGAGTGAATGTTATTGTCTCGTCTGCGTGGGGCGGTTTACAGGTAGTGTGTTACACAGGTGTTGGTTTACACAGGAAATGGCACATGCAGCCTGATTGGGATGCTCCCGAGAGACGGAGGCATAAACGTAGAGCACAGATGGGTCCAAGGGCCACTGGGAGCATCACCTTAATGAATACGCAGCTGAGTACTACACTTCATAACATGCAAAACAATATTCTAAGGCCGCAGTAAAAAATAGAACAAAAATCTTCTGAATATCATTACACAATGAATTATTCATACCATTTCTAAAGGGACCACGTCAAAAAGTCTCCCCCCTGCTTTATTGATGATTTCATTCAATATCTCGGCAGATGCTTGTTTATATGACAAAGCATTTTAGTTACCAATGTAAGCAGTTTATTAAGCACACAGTTGTGTCAACATATCTAGCAAAATAACAATTTAAATTGATTACAATTATGTGTCAGACTAAATATAAAAGAGAGAGAAAAAGAGAGACGGAGAGGAAGAGAGGGGAATTCTAGTGGAAAAAAAATAAGTTGTTGATATGGTTCCCGGTGTGTGAGCACATCATGTAAACAGGCCCCAAACAGGGAACACATTTACCATGCCGCTATTCAGTGTGAACCAGGACATTGATTCACAACACTACACGAGTGTGAGAAAAACGATAAATGCATCACCTCAGATATTTCACACCAGCGTTGGTAGTGTGTAAAAGCTGTTGTGACAGCTTGGGTATTAGGACTGGATAGATGGAAAATGTCTGGCTGCTTATGAATGCCAATGTGAATGGGGTGACGGGTTTGACACAAAAACACTCCACCTCAGAACAATTAGGCTGTTCTCAGGCCCCATCCAGTGTTGTCAGTGATAATGGAAAGCTGTGAGGATAACTGGTGATAAATAGACTTTAACACCCTCCTCCTTAAGACCAATGCAGTCCTGCAGTCCTCTCATATGCTTAACTAATCATGAGCATGGCCAGCAAAATTCATACAAAAGACTAATTACTGTTGTACTTCACTTCAGTCTCAAAGGCCTCTTATATAAGGACTTGGGGGTTCTCTTGCCTCTTTTCTCCTCTTGATGGGTATTTTTTTACAAGTAGGCCTCATGCTAGACAAAAGCGTTTAAAAATTGGTGATTGCTTTCATCCGCTTTAATTACATTCAGAAATGGCATTTCTGCCACATAATACACCCCTATTGTTTCAGAATTATCTGGCTTGGGGAGTAAAATCTACAGTATTCCACGATGCTCCCGAGCTAAATCGCCTCTTGAAATTGAAATATGCAGCTGAAATACAAAATAAAAGCCAGCCTTTGCTGCTGATATAGTGGAAGCGCCTTGGCTTTCTCCAGAATGCTATTATTATGCATATCCAGGTAGAAAGTTAATTAACCCAAAGCTTAAGCTAATTATGGTAGCAGAATGCTATCAACCAAACGCTTTCAGTCAGACAGCTGTCCAGAATTTCATTTGCTAATCATTTGTCTTTTGCCGGAGCATATGGTACATTTCCCCACTATCACAGCAACAACAAACAGATGAAAATCATTAACTAAAAACAATGTGCAATTTGAAAAATTAGACACGGATTTATAAGGCTTTGTGTCAGAGAAAAAAAGGCGGATTTATGGCCTGGGAAATATAATGATAATTTTTGGATTTAGCCACTTAGGATTTTAGGCAGACCATGTGACTCAAGTGTGCTGGGAATTCAGATGCACAAATATATTGTTTATATCTATATGCAAATGAGACTGAGAAAGAGAATGTTTATCCGTGTAAAATTAATTACAATTTTCTATAGGAGCATATGCAAAGAGCTTGTTCTTAACAATTTTTAGCTTCTAGCACATTTTGTGCCTGTTTTTAACAACACAATATTTTTATGTTGTTAAAAGTAGAAATCCCTCAGCGCTGAATTAAATCAATTATTTTCCAAGAAATGCTTCATGCATTTATTTTTTCCTTTCTTTTCATAAAAACACATCATAGTGGCTGTTAAAGGGTGATTGATATCAGCATTGCCTCGCGACATTATCAGGCAATAAAGGCTACTCAGGTTCTAATGCAACATGTCATACACAGGCTCCTGTAGTACATTTCTATTGAGGACCTCACAAGCTAAATTGCTTTTTTCCTGCTCCCCCACATCTCAGCCAGCTTGACAGACAAATTGATCAAAGCATTGTAAAATAATATGCTCACAAAATGTCTCGGGGCAGGAGTCCAGCCCTTTTTTCATTTTTCACCCTAATAAAAAAGTACTCTATGATTTCCTCTGTATTATGTGTCTGTGCTCTGTGTGAAAGAGGCGAGAAGCATCATATTTCAGATAATAGTAATCTCCTGTAAACAAAATGCGTATCATTTTTCTGTGAACGCCGAGGCCATGCTAAAAACTAAAGGGGGGAAAAAGCTGGTTAACAGGGAGGCTGGTGCGTAGGGCCCCAACAGGGGTTGTTGAGATGTAATGAATTTGTTCATCTGATGGTGCCTTCAGGGCTGTCGTTAGACTGGCAGAGGAGGTTGATTTTAGGAAATGTTCCTAAGATCAGTTAGGAAGCAAAAGGGGCTTGAGACGTTTCTATTAGAAAGAGCTGACGGTCATGGTGTGTAAGCAATACTTCAAGGGCGTTTATGTAGCTATAATGGCATTTATCAATAACTATCTATCAATGCCAGGAATGCTATTGTTGCTGCACCGGCTGTTCAACACCAAGCAATAGTGAATGCTTAAAAAAAAACATAGAAAGCACAGTCGTATAAGCCAGCAAAGCTTTGAATTGCACACAAATATACTACTGTAGGTCTTACTTTACGTTATGCATAGATGTTATCTATTTCCCTTATCCAAAATATGCGCTTAGAGATCATTTATCACACTGACTTCCTAAGCCGGCACCACACCACATCCAAAGCTGGAAAGAGCCTTGTTTAGTATGTCATAAATAAATCAATGGAAATGGCTGATTTGAACTATTACTGCTACAGGCAGGCTTTTGTGAGATCTACATGTAAAGCCGCTTGCAAAGATAAGCCTATATTTTGTCACTTTATCTCGCCTCCCTTAATGCCTGTTTACATTGTGTTACTCCATATATCTGAGGTGGCTCTAGTTCCCCTGTCCTATGACAATAACATCGCATTCAACTGGTCGGGATAAAATCTAAACATTTTGTTTAATGATTTCTCGCTCACACCTTTGAGAACATACAGACAGCGGTGGGATCAGAGCATCACTTATGACCGACATAGCAAATGATATTAAACTGAGAAATGATCTAGTGATGCGAATCATTAAATTCATTTGCATATTCCTACTGAACCTGAACACACAAATTAAACCCTGTTCACAAGGAGATGGAGAAAGGTGCTTGCGCATGGTTACAGGACATCTTCCATAATCAAAATTCCATATTATTAATTTTCTTCCTTCAACTCATTAACAACAAGTGGAATGTTTTTACTGCTTGATGAATTTTGGGAAATAGCAGACAGTCGGGAAGGAAACACATGTTGAGGTATAATATACAAGGTCATTAATGGGTTTCCATAAATTACAATTTCAACATACATTTTCAAAAGGATAACTTCCTATCTGGGCGAATTGGAAAATGGTTTAATTTCCCAAACCATTCAAGTTTGTCAAATGCGAATCTGTGGTACATGGATATTTAATTTCAATCTAATCAAAACTAATCTGAGATGTAGGATGCGGACCTGTGAAAATAAGGAATGAGTACTTATTAACGCCGGGTTTAATCAGATTCAGTCGCTTCAGTAAGGCTGTCAAGACCCTAACAATTTTGAGGAATGGGTATGGCATGAAATGCAATCACATATTACATTTCTGAGTGTCGGTCTACAGCCAGAACTACTGCATACAACTTGAGGGGAACATAAATAAACAGGAACGAACAGTGCCTGCTCCCAATGGCCTTTGCTGACCCTACAGACATCCGCTCTAATCAACTCCCTTGAGGGTAATAAACAAGTTATTTTTCTGAAATTTCAAATATACTGCAGGAAGAATCACAACCACATGCCATCAGAAATCTAATTTCAAGCCCAACTGTATTCTAGTGCCCCTCATATTTCTAGTGCCTGCTTATATTTGCCCAACTTTCTCCGGGATATTTCTTGTGGGATCTACAAAAATGCCCTGCTTCCAATGAGGAATGGTAGCACTCCATCACACGAGTGGATTCTGTCCGCCTGTAAATTTCACACCTTTGTTTATCACGTCACCAGCCCGGCTGTTGTACAGTACCTTTCAGCAGGTGCGACATCCATTAGGATCTGGATGGTGTGCACACCATTCTCACATCCTCTGACTTGGATCGTCCCCAGGGGGCTCAGCAATGAGATGGTCTTCTGAGTGCACTGGCTCTCCCTCTGCTTCTTCATCTCGCTGCCCTGCTAAGGAAGCACAAATTACACTGCGTTCATTGACATATTCATGTGGCAACTATCACAATTTCCCACATACATTTGCATTGAATGATCTATTGAAAACCTAGCGGGCCACCAACGGATGATGACTTACATATTTGAACACCTAGCCTCCAAACAATGTCATGATGTGACTTGATCCCTACATTACTATCCAATATTTCTTTTGTGCATGGAAAAGAATACGCCTATCTAACCAATAAATCGCCCATTTTTTCCCCTCTTTCTGTTCTATATATCACATAAATGAGAAAAACAATGCAGTCTGTTCCCTTGTCTGGTGGGGGATTCCCAAGATAGCTCGACATTATTTTCAATCCGTCATTTTTGGTTGATGGTCGGGATGTTTTTCTAGCATTAAATTTGTTCCTTAGGGTGCAACTCCGATGGGATTCTGGTTTCCAGCCCTTAACAACAGCAAAAACGTGCAGCTTTTCTGACGACTGAGATGGATACTGGCAATAACCAGACAGCAGTTCCTTTTTTATTTTTACTTTGAGGGAAGGAGAGATGATTGACTATGTTATATGTGAGTTTTTGAGAGATGGGGGTTATAATAAATAAAGGTCACATTGATTGCAAGAGTTTCAACCAAGGAAACCTTTCCTCCTTCCACCTTGATGTGAAAAGTGTCTAAAGGGTACAAATACAATATGTCTTACTCCCTCGCTTTTTTTTATTTTTATTAGTACAGGTAATTCACATTCATATATTTCAAGTCACACGTTTGTTGTGTGTTGTGCTGCAAAAAATGATTATTTGATTAATAGATTGTACTACTGAGATATAGTTACAATTGTTTATATTTTCCAAAAACTGTGAAAAATGTCTTATACATTTTTTCCAAAGTGCTATTTTGTATTCTTTGCTCCGACCAATACTCCAAAACTTAAACACATATAGTTTGCAGGGCATTTAAAAAGGAGAAAATTAGAAATCCTCAAATGTGAGGCTGTAACCTGAAAATAATTGCATTTTGAAAATGTGCGTTACACTTCTGTTACTTACTAGATGCAAGCTACGTTATCAGGCAATAAAATAAAACAACTGGAGCTCAAACAAATAACCGATTAATTGCAACCAGTAATTCATTATTTTAATTCTCCTTTTACTTTTTTATTCTAGGAAAACATCTAAACATTTCCTAATTCAAACTTCTCCAATGTGAGGACGGTCTGCTTTCCTTTGTCTTACTGTATGTGGTAGTAAAGTGAATTGTGTGGGGTTTGAGCTGTGTCAGACAAATACATTTAACAATTTAAATTCGGCCCCTTGAGCCTTAGGACATTTTAAATAATGATAAACTATTTTCATACATTGTATATATACCAATTAATAATACATTTGAAAAAATGTGTTGCAGGACTTAGACAACCAACTAATACATCTGAAAAATACTCCAGTGCTGCATACAGCTTGTACTTTTAATTTCAAGAATAGATTTTTTTTTCATTTAACAAAGGTTATGTGATAAGAAGTAGTCATGCATTTACAGTATTTCATTTAGACTTTCAGTTGCACCCCCTCTTCACACACACACACCACATCTGTCATGGTATGCGATCACAAATGCGTCTGCTTCAACTTTCTTGTTTCTACTCTTGCAGCTCTCACTGTATTCATCGGGGGTTTGCCTGAACTGACAATAAAGGCGAGAATTTTCTGAGCCAAACAATGGTACAGTGCACTTTGGATAAGCGCTGAACACACTGCCTGCCATTTAGCAAGCTGGTAATAGACTCATAGATAGAATAATGGACTTTGGCAATAATGGCCTTGGCTAATAGTCTACACTGATTAAAAATAATGCTATCATGTTTGTTTTTGCGCCGTTTTTGGTGCACAACACTAGTCTAAGTGACTACTTGAATGTTCGGATGTTTACACAGCTCTTCACGGTGAGGAACAACAAACAATAAGCAGCTTGTGTTGTTAAAAATCACTGGCAGCATCCCGGTGCTCGTCAATCATTTGACTCGTTTCTCATTACACTAGTTCCTGGTCAAACCTGCGTGATTAATTGAGTAGAAAGCGCGCGGTGACTGTGTAAATCCCGCATATCTCCATATAGTGTTATTTTATATTGAGTACATTTATGCCGAAATCTACACGGAGATCGCCGCAAATCTTTAAGTGTGAAAGTATTATCAAACTACAAGAAACACACCTTTTTAAGTAAGTGTGCATTTAAAATGTTATAAATAAAAGCAGAGGTTCGTGACTTAAGGCCTACACGAACTAACGTTCAGTAGTTTGAGACTATACGCGTATACATTTAAACCGCATTGTATGTCAGGCTTTGTTAAGTAACTTTAACTTTGTAAATTAGCCCTGTATCTTACAATGAAGCCTTTTCATCCGTACGGTGTTTGAACGACGTCCGCTTCTCCTCTCTGCAGAAAGTCTCTTCCTGTTTCTCCAGACTGCGTGGTCGAACCGGCCAATCACAGGAGGCAAAAGTCACATCTCGCTCTGTGATAGGCCGATATAAAGTCCTCGTTCCTCCCCCTGCCAGGGACAGACACGGAAGGCTTGTCTAATGGGTCTCAAGTTGGGATTTGGGGTCCTTCAGGGGGTCCCTACTCCCTAGTAAACTGAAGACTAGTAATGGTAGTGATTTAGATATTGGATTTGCTTGATATTTTTACAGCAGGAAAAAATATGATAATGCATATTTTGAGCATTAATTCCAAACACTGTTATCTTTCCACTTATAGCTGAGACGTTTCTGTGTCTCCAGTGACAGTCAGGTCTTCAGGGTCCCAGACATGATGTTTGTGGATAAAAAACACCTATGTGCTGCCAACAACCAATAACATCTTATGTATTACCAACTAATAAAGTCAGCATGATAGTATGAACAACACATGGGTGCAGTGCACAATCCTTTTTATTAGAGTTTAGGCAGTTTAAAGGAGAGGTATAGTTGCCTTTTGTTGCCTGGAGCAGTCATAGATTTAACTGAAGCATATATTTCAGTCATTATGGCCAAGTGTGTGGCATCAGTCATGTATTGTTTAAAAGTGTCTGTTGTCCTCTGCAGCTTTATTTGTTATTTCTGTGGTGCCTTCAGCTCTCTGCATGCCTCTGTTTGGAAGTGTAGGCCGGTGTGGGCCACAGCCCACACCCCGTCTCAGCGGTGAGGGTGGGAGCGGGGGAGAAAACGCCACCCCTGCAGAGACCATTTTGAAATCTGTGAGGATTTCCGTGCCATCTGGACCCGCTGCCAGTCTGCCCCAGATAGTAAGGGTTGGCAACGGTACCCGACGGTGCAATATGGCTCTCTCTTTAATGAACTACTAACTGTCCCCCGTTTTAATTGATGTGACATTTGAGCCATTTATCTCTGACATTTCAATGAAGGATGATTCTCAGCCTTGCCATTTACTTTTTTGTGCTATTTTCTAAGAGTCATTTGCATTTTTCTGCTCTAAACCTGCTTTTTGTCTCTCATTAGCTAATTAGAGAGCAACATGCACAATTAATAAAAATGAACATAACCTAGTTTGATATAGGCTTGATGAAGGATAATCAGAAAATCACTGTTTTCTTAATATTGATCAAAAATGATGTGAAGGGCTACCTGTGGTAAAAGGTGACTTCGATAAAGCCTTGTAACCTTTACCCACATACCAACATGTAGCCTACAGTGTTGGACAACTTATGTTCGCAGCATGGGGAGAATCAAGCTCAATTAATCAGCATATGATTGCAGTAAGCAGCCCCCTCTGCTGGATCTTCTGAGCCATACTGTTTGAAATCATTTTAATGCTGCATTCAGTGGCCAGACAATTATCATATGTGGCAGGCGGGGTGGATGCTTTTTGCGTTTGCTTTATTTCATTTAGAGAAAAACAATTCTCAAATGTGCAAATTTAAAATTATTTAAATACATGTTTTGCTTTTTGTCATTCTATATTTATTGTATATTAATTTTAATTACTGCTGGCACATCAAAGCTGTTTGGCACATTTTATATTTTGTTTGTACAGTCATGTATATTTATTCTGATAAGTGCAAATAATTTATTTTGAAAACAGGAAATACTTTAGCCATGGTTTGTTGAAATAAACAGCCTGAAGTGCGTGTGAGTGACATTAAAGTATGGTATACGAAAGGTTCCAGCCTCAATTGTTTTCCATAATGACACATATTTTCAATCTTTTTAAGATATCCTTTAAAAACACGGCTGCACTGATGACGACTGTTCCTTTGATTGTGAGCAGCATCATTGCCAAGGTGTGGTGCCCTGTCTGTGTTGGCAGCCGGGCTGATATCTTTTGTTTGAGACTCAAAGAGCTCTTTTTCCTGTTCAGCTTCCCTCACTATTTTTGTTTGTGTGAGGTGTTGATGGACTTATATGTTGCACAGTTTCCTTTTAGTGTACAGCACCAGATGTTTGTGAGAATAACAACCCTAACCTTTTTTGTCATAATGACAGAAATTGTTTATTAGCAGTTTTGTCCATCCGGCAATGTATGATTGTCATAGCTCACTCAAATACTGCCTGTGTGTGTCTTGCTCTCTTTTCCTGTGTTCGCAATCTCACTCTTGTGTTGGCGTGGGAGGAGTTGAAGTCATTTATGATATCAGATATTCTCTAGGAGAGCAGGAAAGTCCTGACAGACTGAACAACCACCATCCTCTCAGAGTGCTGTGTGTGAGTGTGCATTTTAATCAGGAGAAATGGCTCTGTGGGCCTCACATTGCACATCGAGGAGGTCTGGGTGTTCTCATTGTGTATACCCAGTGTACAGTAGATGTTATGTCTGTTCCTCTAAATCAAACCACGGAGCAGGGAGGAAAAAGGCAAACTGTTATTCTGTTCTTTTTACTTTGACACTTTGTTATTCCACCCCTCTCAAAAGAATTAGCCTGATCATCGTATAAGCAATGCCGCAATCACAGAGACGTGACCAAATGTCTCTGTACCCTCTAGTGCCCACTTATTTAGTGTGCCTGTGTGCCTCCGTCCCTCCATCTCTGATATGATGTGGCTTCTCTATTTTACTGTTGACATAGTGCTATGAATGTCTGAGCACTTTGCAAATGAAGAGGCTTGAACTCCTGACAGGCAGTGTCGCCGGCACCATGACACACTGGCCCGCACATGCTGTGCGGCATAATGATGACATTAGGATCCAGTGATAATATCAGGACGCACTTCAGATAAATGACTGATAAACCAGGGGTTGTGCCTCTCGTATTACACGCTTGACAGAGCAGCTAATCAGTGTCCAAGTGACTGCTATTACATAAATCATGAGCTCGACTTTGATGCATATTCCATCAGTGTTCCCTATTCATCACGTCATCTGGGGGAGACTCTCTGGATGACTGGCTGCCGGGCCAACACACATTTTAAGAGCACATTATGTTTTCATTAGAATTTGATATGATCCATTCCAGTGTTGATTTGATTTTACGTGCTCGGGTCATTTGATAGGAAACTACCAAGGAGAGGGAGTGTATTGTTACACTCTGCAAGCTGTTTAGGGTGTCATTTTACTCTCGCTGGCCACATTTACAGTCAAGATGCTTGTTGATAAACAGAGATGTTTTGTTCATTCATAATCAGATTTAATTGAAATTGTCAAAAACATCTTTATATTTTATTTATTTACACTTAATTCACATTCTTAGATAATTCACAGATTCACGGTAAAATACAGATTTCAGTATTAAAAAACTGAGAATTTCATTTTTGTTTTGATTTTGCAATACAATCAGACACGTTCAGAGATGAAGTTGGAATGGAGGTGTGGGGTGTTGAAGTGAGTCACCATGTATGTTTTATTCTGCAGTATTGGGGTCAGAGGATGTGAAGGTGGGGGTGTTAATTTAATCCCCATTCTTACCCAGAGCATGGCCACACTCTCTAAGGAGCTTTATCTCTGACAACTGTGTCAAATTAGAGAGGCCACGAGCCCCTCATAAAGAATATGTCTGTCAGAGTACATTGTTCCTGGCCTCTGAAATATACGGCCGAGAGAGACAAAAATAGAAGATAACACCGTAGTCCCACAGTTGGACTTGAACATGATGAAATAATTTTCTAGCCATGTGATCCTGTCAGCGAGACAAACCGCTAATAAAACTGACATCCACATATTATTCTGTACCTCTGGTGCTTTGCTATTCATAGATTTCAATAAGCATTGTTGTATTCACAAAGCCTACCTGTTCCGGCATTATCCCGGATGTTTGTGTGGTCTAATTGTTTTTTATCTTTTATGCTAATAAAACGCTTGAACAGAGTTATTTAGAAAACTTTATTGGATGTTAATTCATTGTAATTCGGCCTTGCTGCGTGTAATTGATGGGAGTGTTACATTCCATTAGGCATGGTACATAACTCTAGGTCAGTCCAGTCTGATAAGTGCCCATCATTTATCTCCCTGGTATCATCGCTGTCCCACAGTCAAACATGTAAAACAACTCTTAATGTTCTCCCCAGTCCCCTATGGGTGTTTCTCCCTGTTATCATCATTGCCTCTATTCTTGAGGGACTTCCTCTGGAGACAACATTTTCATAGACCTTTGACCTAAACCATATTTTCCATTTGAATGGTCTGACTAGTGAATATTTACAAGCATGTTTAATGTATAATAGATCTCATCTGCGAGTATCAGGACTCATTTTCTGCTCAGTCAGGTTCTGGTGGTATAGCCTTGGCCCCTTGCTTGAGGTAATATTGACCCCTCTTAAAAACAAATTTACCTGGGCCTCATTTAGGCCAAGTAGTATGCATACATATTGTACAAGTCCTTAGGGCATACATGTTTATAACAAGGAAAGCTAGCGGTCTCGAATGTAAACATCTTAGCACTGTAATATTATTGTATCAGTAAAGTCCCAGAAGGTGGTAGATTTAATAATGTGGGTGGATTATATAAGAGAGAGAAATAAAGCAGTAATTTGAAATTGTTTGGGGACCTTTTGTGTCAATGGTTATGGAGGCTAAGGGACAATTTCATTCCCTCAGGCCACTGTTAAAAAGGCAATGACTTTTCTTGTACATGCACAGCATTTTGGAATCTACATGCGTTACTAGCACCACAGGCCTTTATCATGTGATTAGTAATACATAATACATTTGATTCTATTATCATGCATGGAGAAAAAAAAAAATGAATGAAGATGGTGAAAGGAAGAACACGTTGATGATGAATAACGTCTGCAGAGAAGTGCTTGAATATACATTTAATAGTGAAACAGATCTCGGTTTGCTGCTCATACAACCACAGGGTTTTTAATCTCTTTCTTGCCGATGAAAGTCCCAGTAATTGCTATATTTCCCTTTTTGTTTCAAGGACCTTTGATGATCCCTTGGCTTGCATCAGAGGGCAAAGTCATTAGTGGAGAAATGAGCTCAAGTGAAGAGAAAGAGATTGCGGGGCTCCCAGCATGATTGGAAACTTTGCCTC